TTTGAGAGTTGCAGGTAGCCTGGGCTACTTACCCAGACTCGACCATAGTATTTGATGGGCGTTGGTGGCGCACGCCTTTAATCACAGCACTTGGGAGGCAGAGGCAGGCAGATCTCTGTGAGTTCAAGGACAGCCTGGTCTACAGAGCAAGTTCCAGGACAGGCAAGGCTACACAGATGCCCTGTCTCAAAAAAAAAAAAAAAAAAAAATCAATCAAACAAACAAAAAACACAGTGTTTGAGAAGTGGAAATGTAGCTTTAGGGAACAGCATATGCTTAGTTTGCAAGAGACAACTGGATTCAGTCCTAGCACTACAAAAAATAAAGAATGAATGAACTGTTTGACATTTGAACTGAGACTAAAAGGAGACAGGAATTTCTTCATAAAGACATGACAAGTGATGTACCTATCTATGTAGGGGGCCAGAGAGCGTTCAAGGTGCTTCATAAAAGGGGCGAAAGAGGGCGGGCGGCGGTGGGGCACGCCTGTAATCCCAGCACTCGGGAGGCAGAGCCAGGCGGATCTCTGTGAGTTCGAGGCCAGCCTGGGCTACAGAGTGAGTTCCAGGAAAGGCGCAAAACGACAGAAAAACCCTCTCGGAGAAAAAAACAAAAACAAAAGGGTGAAAGAGAATCACATCTTGGCTGTTGTTTTTTCAGTGGGAGACCTCACTTAGATCTATTGTATCGTTTTCTCCAGAGATAATAGTGGGCTAGGGTGTGTCAGAGGTCAACAAAAAGTGGGAGGGTCAAAGGACGAAGTGACAGATTGTAGTGACAGTGCTCTCATGGCGAAGACAAAGGTGGCATCCACGGCGAGCACCTGATACAGGATTTACCCTGTGGGTAGGGTTACTGATACAGATCTTTCGATGATCTTCATTCTCAGGCAAAATCCTGACAGATGACTTTGCAGACAAAGAAGGCCTGGAGATGGGTGATGAGTACTTTGCAAATCTAGACCACATTGAAAGTGTGGAGAACTTCAAGGAAGGGTATGAGAGTGATGTCCGAAGTTCCTCTGACAGCAGTGGGGTAGACATGAAGGACCAGGAAGATGGCAACAGCGGTTCAGAGGACCCTGAAGAATCCAATGATGACAGCTCTGATGATAACTTCTGTAAGGATGAGGACTTCAGCACCAGTTCAGTGTGGCGTAGCTATGCCACCCGCAGGCAGACGCGGGGTCAGAAGGAGAATGGACTGTCTGAGATGGCTTCTAAAGACTCCCGACCCCCAGACCTCGGGCCTCCACATGTCCCTATCCCTCCCTCGGCATCTGTAGGGGGGTGCAAACCACCTTCATCTGAAGAGACTCCCAAGAACAAGGTGGCCTCATGGTTGAGCTGCAACAGTGTCAGTGAAAGTGGATTTGCTGACTCTGACAGCCGTTCTTCCTTCAAGACTAGTGAAGGTGGAGATGGCCGGGCTGGGGGGGGGCGGGGAGAGGCTGAGAAGGCCTCTACCTCAGGATTGAGCTTCAAGGATGAAGGAGATAATAAGCAAACTAAGAAAGAGGTAAGAAATGGCTGCACAACCTTGAGAGCAGCAAACTCCCCCCCCCCCCCCAAAATGTACTTTAATGCATGGTCCTGGAGGTTAGAGCTCACCTGGTGATGGCCGTCCTTGCTGGCAGGCTCCCGGGGCAGGACAGTGTTGCATGGCAAAGTCAGGGAATGTGTGTCCACGTTAAGAGCAGTGCCTTTTAACGTTGGTGCAAATGGACATTGAGGTGTGTGTGTTTGGGACGGGGGTCACCTCAGTCAAGACTTCATCTTAAAACCTAAGGAATAAAGAACTGAAGTGTGTAGGGTTTATTGATTTTTGTTTCATTTTGTTTTTCATGGCTGTTTTTATTTAGATAGGATCATATTACATCCAGGTTGGCTTGAAATTTGCTATTACGTATCTTTGATGTTGAAACATTCCCTGTTACAGGTAGTAAAACTGTTGAGTCCATGGGACATTTTGCTCACAATACTCTTCCCTGTGTTCCATTATTGGGAAAGGTTAAAGGCCCTTGCCAGGGGAGTAGACTGGTGAGAACCTGATTACTGCTGTCAAGTTAGAAAGTGACTTCCAACATCACCCTCTTAAGTGTGCGTCTTTTTGGCTTATGTTGTCTTTGGAGATCTTTTGTTACCTTGGACCGTGAACACATTTAACCCTTCACTTGTCCTTTCTAGGACCCTGATGACCGAAACAAGATGTCAGTGTAAGTGCTTGCTTTTGGATTCCTCTGGGTCTGCCTTCTCCTTTCACACTTAGAAAAGAAGCCTCAGAAACAGCCAGTAACCCGGCCCTCTCATTCTTTGCCCTTCCCGTTAGAGTGACTGAAAGCTCTCAGAACTATGGACACCATCCTCCCATGAAGTCTGAAGGGCTTCGCCGACCGTCTAGTAAAACTTCTGTGCCCCAAAGCCAGCGACTTGTGGCGTCGACTCCGTCAAACCCTGATGTGAGTAACCTTCTTAAGCTTCTGCTGCCTTCTCTTTTATTTAGTCCAAGTACAGGACGTATTAGTAATGGCCTCGTCCCCAGTCCTTCACTAGAATGACTGTGGAGTCTCTTCTTGTTTCTTTGGTCTTGACTTTCTACCTTGTTCTCCAACATCTGATCGTCGTCTTGCTGTTGCCGTAGCCCATTTTGCCAAATCACGGTAAAAGCAAGAACTCGAAGCAGCTTTTCTTTCCTCTAGCTCTTCCCCTCCTTGACACCCCTGTCTCCCCAGGATGTGCTGACCCTGTCCAGCAGCACGGAGAGTGAGGGGGAGAGCGGCGCCAGCCGGAAGCCCACCGCCGCCGGGCAGACCCCGGCCACCGCCGTGGACAGCGATGACATCCAGACCATCTCTTCTGGCTCCGATGGCGATGACTATGAGGACAAGAAGAACTTGTCTGGTAGTCTGAACATGTTTGGGGAGTAGTAGGAAGAAACAGGAAAGTAGGAGAAACATTTTTTAAAGGAAATAGTTCAGAGCCTAGAAATTAGGCAGGCTTCCCAACTGAGCTAAACTGTTAAACTGCTATGTGCCCTTTCGAATCAAGTGTGACTAAAAAGTTTAGCATGGTGGCTCTTAACTGTAATCCTCATGGGTTTGAAGCCATCCTGAGTTACGTGAAACCTCATCTGAAACAGTGTGGTTTAGGTTTTGTTTTGTTTTGAAGACAGGGTTTATCTATGTAACTACGATGGCTATTCCAGAATCGTTCTGTAGACTCAGAGATTCACCTTCCTCTGCCTCCTGAGTGCTGGGATTAAAGGCGCGCACCACCCACACCTGGCTAGTAACTGAGGGTCTTAGCCTGAGGTCTGGCTAGCTTATTGCTATCTGTCCCTGAGCTGTAATGAGTGGAATAAAAATCGAGAAAAAAGGCCAGGCAGTAGTGGCGCACGCCTTTAATCCCAGCACTCAGGAGGCAGAGTCAGGCGGATCTCTGTGAGTTCGAGGCCAGCCTGGTCTACAGAGCGAGATCCAGGAAAGGCACAAAGCCATACAGAGAAATCCTGTCTAAAAACAAAACAAAATTTAAAAAAAAAAAAAAGGAGGAAAACATGGCATGGTGTTTCCACACTTAGGAGAGTGAGGGGACAGGAGGGTCACGGGTCAGAACAGACGAGTAATTCAGGGTGGTAGGATGTCGTGTATGAGTTGAGATAGCTCTGACCCCAGGTTTGGTTTTTCCCTTTCCAGGTCCAACGAAGCGCCAGGTGGCGGTAAAATCAACCCGAGGCTTTGCTCTTAAATCAACCCATGGGATTGCTATTAAATCAACCAACATGGCTTCCGTGGACAAGGGGGAGAGCGCACCAGTTCGTAAGAACACACGCCAGTTCTATGATGGTGAAGAGTCTTGCTACATCATTGATGCCAAGCTTGAAGGCAACCTTGGCCGCTACCTCAATGTGAGACTCTCAACCACTTCTGAGTGCAGGGTTATATATGCCATTACCCTCAAATTCCTAAATCTTCAAAGATACTGTGTAAACCCACCTTTGCTTATAAGTTGATTTAATAAGAATAAGGTAGCTTTCTTTCAAAACATCACTGCTATGATGTGTGGTGGGAGTGGGGATCAGATTACCATTTTCTTGGGCTTCTCATGCAGCCAGATGTTTCCCTGGTCAAATGACTGTCCTCTTTATACTTACAGCACAGTTGCAGCCCTAACCTGTTTGTCCAGAATGTCTTTGTGGATACTCACGATCTTCGCTTCCCTTGGGTGGCCTTCTTTGCCAGCAAGTAAGAGGGATCAGGAGGAAGGGGTAAAACCCATGGGAATCCTAGGGGGCACCTTCATTTGTGGTCAGGCTTCACCTTGACCTCCCAAACTAACCCCACGCGCCTGTGTTACTACCTCCTGCCTTTATTACACCCCATCCTTTCCCTCCTCAGGAGGATCCGGGCTGGAACAGAACTTACTTGGGACTACAACTACGAAGTGGGCAGTGTGGAAGGCAAGGAGCTGCTGTGCTGCTGCGGGGCCATTGAATGTCGAGGGCGTCTTCTTTAAGGAGAACCTCTTCTCACTCAGTCCTTGAACCGTCCTTCCCCAGAACTGTCTTCCTGACGGTGAACTCTGACCCCAAGTCTCTGGTCTAGCTACTCTCCAGTTCCTCACAGATAGAAATGGGGATTCTGGACCAGGACTCTTCCAGTGTGGTGCTAGCAGACACTAGGGTGGGTCGACGTGACCACTCTAGCCTCAGCCTGAGGACCTTTCAATGTATGTGTTCATGACTCACATGGGCCGTGTCTGCCATCCCTGGTCTGTATGGTTTCTTTAAAGTCTTTTAACAAGATGATAGAATAGAGATTGTGATTTGTTTTCTCTGCTCAGTCCCGGTCTCGATCTCCCGGGGAGAGGTCATTTCCCCAGTGGGCAGCTGTCGGTAGTCTTACACCTCTATTTCACTTGCCCTGTGTAATTTTTAGCAAAACAAATGTTACATAACCACAAGGAATCCCCTTTCTCAGTTCTTAATAGTCTGACACACTGTCATGTTTTATTTAATCTTTAATATACTTTAATTAAAAAAAAAAAAAACAACCATTAACAGTACATTTTGGTCTGAAATGGTCCCTCGCCGACATGCCAGGTCCTAGCTGTAGTTCTGGCTTTATAACTGAAACCCCAATGTTCAATAAATAACAGAACTAGTTACCTTCTACTCCACGCCAGCTTGTCTTAGCTGAAGGGAGGGGAAGAGGCCGAGAAAGGAGGCAGTGAGGTCCTGGAACCATGGTCCCTGGGGTAGGGTGCGGGGCTTGTATGCCTTCCTTCACTTAGTTAATTGTTTTTAAGGAGGAGAAAAAGTTAAAAGAGCTCAGCTTTCCTTTCCGGCATGAGCTAGGGAGCTTAGAAAGGTGGGACCTTGGTCCAGCTTTGGCAGAATGAGGCCCAGAGATGGGACAGTAAGGCACAACCCTGCTGGGCGTCAGGGAGTCGGAGGCAGAGCTAGCGCCAGACTCTCAAGAACAAGGAATGTGAGCGCGACTCCAGCCCTCAGAGCCGAGAAAGGTTTCAAAAGCAAGAGAGAGGGGAGCTTGGAAGAGAGAGGGAAGTAAGAGCATCCCTCTCTAGCAGAGGATATAACCAACCTTCCCCACCTGAAGAGAGGCTGGTTAGAGTCTGGGTTCGAGGTGACCGGGCGACAGGACAAGTAAGGGAGAGTCAGTGTAGACTCCCTTCCTTAGATCCCTTCTCCCAGAGCTCGGTCGGTGTCCCTAAGGGAAGGTTGGCTAGTTTCCTGGCTTCATGTATTCATGTGGGAGGCAGCTAGGACAATGGTTCAGTCCTTCTTAGGATGGTTATTATTGAGGATGGGATGGCCATTAGCTAGGAGCCGGCTCTTCGCTCCTGCCCCAGCTGCAGCCTCCTCCCCCTCGGAGCTCTCAGTTTCTTCTCGGTCACTGCGTTCATCTTCTACCAGCTGTGGAAAGGACAGAAAGGGTTCTGTATCTTCCAGTTCCCGAGAGCTGCCGCTAAGTTTCCTGCTACCCCCAGAACCTCACACGGTTTCAAAAGAGTAACTGGCAAGGAGTTTGGGGGGTCCTGGGGTTGAAAGTGGTGAGGCCGCCAGATGGTGGTGGTGCACTTTCAATCCCAGCACTTAGGGAGGTGGAAGTAGGTGGATCTCTGAGTTCAAGGCCAGCCTGGTCTACAGAGTGAGTTCCAGGACAGCCTGGTCTACACGGAGAAACCCTGTCTCGAGAGAAAAAAGAGAGAGCAGTGAGACCCACAAAAGGGAGGCGGAGCCTTCCTCACCTTTCCAGTTATGAACTTGTGGGCCATGCGCAAAATGAAGTAGGCCCAGAAGATGTGCAGCATCTGTAGCACCGCCATCATGACGTTGAAGAAGTAATAGCCGAAGAAGGCGGGGTAGAGCTCCAGGGGGTAGATCAGCGTGCAGTGCAGGATCCTGCGGATTTGAGGGGAGACAATAAACACGGGCATGGGCGAAGACTGAGGTGAGGGAGGAAAAGCAAGAAGAGCCGCTGCCTACTCACCAGAAGGGCATGATAACGAGTCGAGTGACGATGAAAACCAGGGCGAAGACAATGAAGATGTTATTGCAGGTGTTCTTCCACCCCGCGTAGTTGAACATCTTGGCAGACTGCATAGACAATTCCATCTATCAGCATGGGCTCCTGACTCTTGTGAACGTTACTGTGTGTGTGTGGCCAGCAGCACTGGCTGTGCCCTCCCACCTTGGTCCCAGGAATGCCAGGACCCTCTTCAACCCCCCAGAAGACTAGAGGCGCAAATGAGCGAGGAAGCCTGACCTCCAGCAGGTAGTCAGAGGAGTCATGCAGAGCCATGATGAGGGTCCCTGCTCGGACGTAATTGGCAAACCAGGAGAAGCTGAGGAGAATGATGGTGGCCACATGGTGGATGATTTGTTCCTTAAAATCCTGCAGAAAAGATCCAGGCTTCAAGGGACTCTTCCCTGCTCACTGTTCCCCATATCCCAGCGGCTCTGTCCAGAGATCCCGAGAGATGACAGGAAAGGTTCCCCATCCCAGGGCCTCATTTGGGCCCTGGACCTCACCGCCAGCCTGTCCACCCACCTTTCGCTTGACGTCGGAGGCAATGCTGAAGAGCAGGGACCAGTAGAAGGAGAGTTCAATAATGTAATACCAATACTGAGAAGGGACGATGCTCTGCGAGAGGAGAGAGGGGTGAGGGATTCCAGAACAACGGGCTCTAAGGGGCTCACCTCCAAACTCATCCCTTCTAGCCCCTCGAGATACTTTGTTCTGTGGCTGATTTCTGTGCCATGGATTTCAAGGAACTCAATAATGGGTGTTACGTGCTGTAGACCACTCCTCTCGTACCTGTATGGGATATCCCTCCCAAACTTTCCGCAAGTCATAGAACCAGGGTTTCTGCAAAGAGAGATTAAAGGAAAAACTCAAACCCTGTGGCCTCAGCCCATCTTGACAAAGGATGCTCCCACTTCCCAGTACTCACATCCACAATGACAGCCATGCCAGCCACAAAGGCAATTAGGTAAAACGTGAATCTCCAACTGCAAGAGGAAGCAGAGCTGGCTAGGGGGAGGATCAGCAGCTTCCCACTGCCCCCAGACCCCCTCTCAAGGTCCCCTCACCTATCCTGCACACCACAGCCCTCTCCTCCCAGCAAGAGACAACAGAACTGGGCCTCCCAGCTTCACCTGCCCCAATTTCCCCCACCTGGCTTCTCGGAACTTCTTGAGAAGGCTGGGCCTGTCCTGGTTGCGGCGGCGGCGGAACCAGCGTTCTATCTGGCGGCTAGACAGCCCACTCTGTCGGGACAAAAGCTCTACCTCCACCTAAGCACAGCGAGGCCATTAACATCCAGCCTTCAGATCGGCAGTGTCCCAACTCTGCCCAACCTCTCCCGGGAATAACCTAAGTCAGGCCCCCACCCTGCCCAGTCTTCACCTTCCAGGGTTGGCATTCAGACTCTGGCCCACCCAGACGCAGCAAATCCCAGGGTCATCTGCAGCTCATACCTGCTTGGGCTGCTTGCCGCTGGTCAGGTAGAAATGCTCTAAGGTGGCATTGGGAGGTGCCCGTAGTCGGGTTTTCTCCTTAACATTCAGGAGGGCAGCCAGGGGTGTAGCCACATAACTGGAGAAGAGGACAGGAGAGAGAGGTGTCTGGCTCCCTTGAAGCACTCCGAACCCCGTTTAGAAGGTACCGTAAGTTCGGGCATCTTATTTCTAGACCTCAGTTTCCCAAGTTTCCTGGCAACCCCCTTTCCTCTAGCCTCCTGGGCTGCCCGCGCTGACAAAGCTGCCTATGTTCACTATTGACCAGGCATGGAGGCGGGCATGGGGTAAGAACAAACAACCATTGAAGGAAAGGGCTGGGGGTGCTGAGTCCTCAGGAAGACAATGGTGCCCTGGGGGAGGGGGAGCAGTCCGTAGGGACCTGGGTGGCCAGAACACCAGTGTCCAGAACTAAATTTCAAGAGACCAACACGAAGTCTGCTAGGTTGGCTGCCAACTGGAAGGAATGAGGAGGGCATGCTCACAGCTCAAAGAAGTATCGAATGATGAGAAAGACCAAGGCCAGGGGAAGTGTGATGTAGAGGTCTGAGGCTTTGGCATAGACACGTCCATCTTTGTCTTCTAGATCAGCCCAGGTTAAGTTCACAGGCAGCCATAGTCGGTCCCACCAGAAGTGGTCATACAAGGTCTGGAGCATCCTAAGTGAGGAAGGGAGAAGTGAGAGGACCAAGTGAGAGCTCTGCAGGGAAGAAAAGGAATGCACACTCTTTGGGTTGTCAAAAGGGACGGACAGCACAGTGACTCAAGCCTCGGACTCTGGTTCTGGCTACATGGCCTTGGAACCAATTGGCTTCCTTCGCTGCCTTGGTTTCCTTATCTGTAACAGGAAATCAGTGTCTTTCAAGTTCCAGCATTTACAGTTTGTTGCAACCTTAGGTGATGCTGACACCACACAGGCCTGATCCCCTGCAATAAAGAAAACAAAAAACAAAAAAACAAAAAACTCCACTCATTTCTTATCAGTCTTATCTTTTGGCTCTCAACCTGGAGAACAAGTAAGACCTAGTTAGAGAAGCAGTAGTCAACATCAGGGAAGTCATCCAGGTTGAGCGTGGTGGTGCACACCTTTAGTCACAGACTCAGGAGGATCCACACAGTGAGTCCAGGACAGCCAGGACTACATAGTAAGACCCTTAACTGGCCAGCAGACCCACAGGAGAAAACGAAACAGTGAAAAGGAAGTACCATCCCCAAAGACCAGTGAGCATCAGACACACACACAAGACTGACCCTCCATGCTAAGTCACTCAGTCTCTCCATGACATTAAGCTATTTCTTACAAAGGCTCCCCCAGAACATAAAAACCTGTCTGCAGCTGGACGGCGGTGGCACACACCTTTAATCCCAGCACTTGGGAGGCAGAGTCAGGTGGATTTCTGAGTTCGAGGCCAGCCTGGTCTACAGAGCGAGCTCCAGGACAGCCAGGGCTACACAGAAAAACCCTGTCTTGAAAAAACAAAAACCAGTCAACATCTTCAAGCCAGGAAAGAGCTGCTGCCTTCAGCTGCTCTTTCCCTCACAGAAAGATGAAGAACAGTGTGCCACTGACCACCTGGACCCAGATGAGGCAGGGGACAGTCTTTGGCAGCTGCTCAGGGTTGAGAAGCAACCAGATGTCCCTGAAGAGTCACTGATCAGCACAATGGCGGGAATCTTGCAGAGCAGAGGAGCCAAGGAAACCCTCCAGGCTCCCCACCTGTCATTCTCCTAGGAAAGGGAGAAGAGGCGGCAGCATTCAGACTGACCTACGGACTGGACTCTGGGACAGGAGAAAGGTGGTCTCCTCCCAGGTACAGAGTAGAGAGCAGGAGCTGGAGAGCCAGTGTGAGCAGAGACACCAGGCACCGAAATCCAACTGGAGTTGCCGAAGGAGGCGGACACCTCAGCCCACGACTGCGCTGGGCGGCCCCTTTGGCTGCTTGGCTTTCAGCAGCTCCGCCTCCACCCTCCACAGAAGCACTTGCGAAATCCCTCTCCGCCTGTCACGGGTCAGTCAGTATTCCAGCTCCAGGACTTTACCCTCTCGTCCTCACTCCTGGTCACAGCTCTTGTGGATGAAACCAGAGGTCAGCACAGACGATAAGGGATTTCCAGCTCCATGCCCATCACACATTCCAGGCCTCGACCTGGAGGACACTGGCCCTTCCCCCTCCACCTCAGCCTGAATAAATATTGAATTTGTTAAAAAGAGATGGAGCCTCTCAAAGTGAACAAAATTAAATGTAGCTGCCCACACAAGCACACATTCTTCCTAGAGAAAAGTAAAAACTGAATTGGGAAGGAAGAGGGCAGACAACCAGACTGAGGGGCAGATTGAAGGGGCGGTCTGGACATCTCCACCTCTTCCTTCCCACCTTTTGGGTTAACCAGCTGGGAGGTGTGGACCAATACCTGACTTTGTCATCTGAGTTTTTTCTTAGGGCCTAACTTTTCCTCCAATGAGACCTAAATTCAATCGTGCAGACAACCCTAGCCTTGGGCCATCCCATCCCATTCAGTAGGGTGTTTTCTTGTTAGAGCCTCTTGAGGGTTAAGGATTTAGAGGGCTAGCTGAGGGCCTAGAGGGTGGGTGGAGCCTCTCTCCGGGACTCCAGCAGCATAGGAATGTCTAGTGCCTTTCTTATCCCTACAAAGAAGGTAAGAGGCTGGGGGGCGGGGGACGAGGACAAGTGGGTACCCCAGTCCGGCTGAGGGAACCGAGGGAAGGTACCAGAACTGCATACCTACCTCGGCCCCGACACAGCCGCACCGGGACTCCTGCACCCCGGACGTGGAGTGATGTCTGACTGGGTGGGGAGGACCAATGGGGGCCTGCCCACTGGGCTTCAAGCGTGCTATGACCACAGCCCTCCCTGCTCTCCGGACTCCCACAGCAGAGGAGCTGGCCCAGATTCAGCAGGGTCAGGAGGGGAGGGACCGGGGTCTCCAGTCAGCTTCTCTTACACATCTCCCCAGAACCAGTCTGCTCCCTGCGACACCCCTGGTGACTACTTGGCCCCAGCACACCAAGACAAGCATCCCATCAACAAGACCTCAGGATGAGAAAAGGCAACATTCAGCCCCCTCGTCCCTAAGGACAGAGGGAGTCTTGATTACACCTGTAACTTTTCCACTCACAAAAATTATGCCAGGGCTGCACGAAGAGATAAGGTGTGTGTGTGTTCACCTATCCGTCTCTCCCTCACACACACACACCTGCCTCGGGGACAGACACCACTTTGGGACACACGCTGGAGAGGGGCCAGCACAGCAGGGATTTCACACGCATTATATTACTCGCAACCTGAGCGGGGTTCTACCTGGCTCCAACCTTTGCTCCAACTCTGATCTCCGACCCAAAGACCCTCCCAAGCAAATGAAAAGGGGTGGGTGGGCGGGAGAGGGGCACCAATGGGAGCTTGCGGGCCCAGAGGGAAGGGAGGGTGTAAGAGCAGCCTATAAGAAAAAGACATCTCAGACTCAATGGGACAACAGTCCTGGTGACCCCAACCTTCCATTGGCAGAGAGATTAAAAAAGAGAGGGTCCCATGGGCTCTCCAGTCGGAGCAACCATAAAAAGACGAAGGAGGCCTGAGCAGTCTTTCTTACTGAAAAGTTTCTTTTCGGGTAACAGTAGCGGGTCATGAACTTCTTTCTAGAAGGTGAAGAGCAATGGTAAGGTCAAAAGTGTGCCACTGCTTCAGGCTACAACACCAGCCCAAAAACATGGGTCAGATTCTGGGAAAGATGAGGGTGAGAGGCAGTAATCATGTGGTCCCAGGCTTCAGGTGGCCCACAGCTTGTCTGAGATGATTCACAAACTCCCCACCCCCAAAAAAAAAAAAACTGTGTAAGAGTGTGGGCCCCCAGAAACAGGGAGAAGCCAGCAGGTTTAAGTAGCAGCTGAGTGTGGCTGGGGTGATGCTGAAGGGAACCGTATAGGTCAGTCTTGCCTATGGTCGGTGGTGGGAAGGGAAGGCTCCTCTTCCCAGAGCAAACTTTGGCCGGAGGCGCCAGTTTGGAGAAAGGGGTATGGGGCAGCAATTGGAGACAAGGATCGATTACCTGCCACACACACACACACACACACACACACACACACACACACACACACGCATGCACCTTAGAAAATAAGCACTGTATGGCCAGGAACAGGACCCAAAGAACAGTGCTGCAGACAAATCCTTATCCTTAAGGGTCCCATCAGAAGTGCAATCAACAAACTTTACATTCAAAGTTAGTCACCGCGACTCTGGGATGGGAAGTGACTTTCCACCCCAGCTCTAACACAAACCCAAGGAACTGCCTGCAGGAGGCCTTCCCTAATTCAGTTCTCTAAGAACACCGGCTCACTCCAGACCTCCAGACCTCCGGATGCTTAGAACTCCCCTGACTGCCGAGGCTGGCAACTCAAAGAGCTGAGGTCTGCTCTGGATGCCAGGAGCGCGTCTTAGGCACAGGAACTCCCAACCTCAGGCCAAAGAGGAATGTCACGCACCTACAGGTAGCAAACTAGCTCGAGGGCCTCTGAGTCTGTAATTAGCAAGTTACTACTCGCCAGTAAAGCTAGTTTCACCAGCTGCTCCCAGAGCTGGCCACGCACACCCCATAACGGTACAGGAATCTTAGCCCTCTGGGGCCAGGGCACACACACGGAGAGTGTACTCCTTCCTGTTTCCCGTTCGGCACATGGACGCTCTACCTCTCTCCCGGGATGGGCAAAAGGGGCCCAGCGGCAGCGGCAGAGGCGGCGGCGGCCGCGGCGGCAGCAGCAGCAGCAGCAGCAGGGGCCGCCACCGCTCCTCCTTGGCCTCGGCACTCAGGCCCCAGGACGCACGCGGCCCACCAGGGGGTTCTCGCCCCCGAGGTCCGCGACTGCCCTACTCCCAACAAAGGGGCGTCTGTGGCTCGGGTCCCGGGCGAGCGCCGGACTCCGGCCCCTACCTGTTGCCCCGCAGGCCTTCTCCCCGCCGAGGCCCTAGCCCGGCCCGGCGCGCCCGCTCCCGCAGGGCTCGGCCCGCCCTCCAGCAGGCC